CAGCAGGAGCTGCTCTGGGGTGTGATGGGGCACTGGAACAGCAGCAGGAGCTGGTTTGGGGTGTGATGGGGCACTGGAACACCAACAGGAACTGGTTTGGGGTGTGATGGGGCACTGGAACAGCAGCAGGGACTGGTTTGGGGTGTGATGGGGCACTGGAACACCAACAGGAACTGGTTTGAAGTGGGAAGAGGCACTGGAACAGCAGCACTGGAGCACTGCCCCCCACACTCCCACCCATAACAGATAAGGAATGTCCAAAGGACAATCTGCAGCGCCAGCACACCAACATTCCCCATCTCCAGTAACTGCCACGAGTCAGAAGTAGCTTAAATTCATTGGAAACCATGGAAAAGTTGAAGTTGAGGTTGCCCTTACCAGGTTGAGAGTCCCCAGCATGACATTCAAAGTGTTCATCTCTGGCTTGACCAGCTGCTGCCGGTTGATTTTCACCTTCACACAGTAACTGAAGAGTTTCAGCAGCACCTACAAAATACAGCCAAGGGATTCTCTGTGGTACCTTCACAACGAGGCAGGGACTTTGCTGAAACTCAAGTAATAATTTAATACAATAATTTGGTCTCCAGACTCGTGGGATACAGTACACCCCCGATTTTTACATCTGCTCATCTGTCTTTGGTTTTTCAGGTAAGGCCAAGGCAGAAAATCCCTCCAGCAAGAAGAGGATTTAATCTTAGCAGCTCCTCAGGTTCTACACATCTCAAGTTTTGTAAAGGATTGTTAACCAAGAGGAATGGGAGAGGGAAATGCTCAGTTTCCCCCCGGTAACTCCTGAGCCCAGAGCCAAAGGGACACTCACGGTTAAGAGGTGCCGGCCCTGCTTGAAGTCCTTGATGCCAGTCAGTCTGTTGAGCATGCACTCCAGGCCTCCACACGGGGCCATCACCCCTGCCATCTTGTACACCTCTTCCTCATCCTCCTCCTCATCTGCAGGACACACACACACGGGGGGTGAGCACACGAGCAGCGCAGCGGGACACGGAGAGCAGTGCAAGCAGACATGAGAGCAGAGCAGCACACGTTCACCAGCAGCTCCAGTCACTTCAGTTGTTGAATTCAAAAAGAATTAAGAGCAGGAATATGAAGAAGGACTGGACAGAATGGTCCCCAGTGCTCACATTTGAGGCACAGCTTTAAAGCGCTGCTAAAATCCTCCTTCACTCGAGGTAAAGCAGGTAAACGCAGCAAAAGCAACGTCAATCAACTTTAAGCTCACTGCTGTGAGGATAATAATGTCACTGCTCTGCAGCAAACCTCAGATTTCAAATCTAATCCCAGCTTTCAGCAGACAAATGCATTACCAGTGGTGGAGTCGAGGGACTCGATGAATTCCTCCGTTGCATCTCCCAGTAACCCCCGCATGCGGTAAATGATCCTCATGGGCTCCCCCTGCAAGAGCAGAGATTTTTATTAATTCTCCTCTCTCTGCACACAAGTTCTGATTTCAGTGTGGCCACTCCAGCCCCAGCTCTGCCTGGTGCTGTTGGTAACACAGGGAAATCTTTCACTCTCCCCTTGCTGAGGTGAATTAAAAACAACAGCAGAGCCACCTGCAAAAACATCACTAACTCATCCCCAGCTCTTCTTGGCGTTG